GAGAAAAAATATAATTAAAAATAAAAGTCATATTAAAGTCAATAAAATCTCAACAATCTGATAATTAGATGTCTCCAGCTAACAATAGAACCTAATACTCACTTGACAACGGTCACAGGTTACTCCAGTCACACCTGGTTTGCAATGACATTTCCCTGTGATATCACTGCAGGTATCTGTACCACACTTTGAACAGCGACACTCTGAAACAGTAATGTAGTTTGTGAATGTATCTTTGTGCAGAGGTAACAATCAGCAATACAATAAAAACATATGAAATACCTGGGGGCGTGGCCAGCATGTGATCCCGAGCAGACGTGTGCCAGAACAGCTCCGCTCCATATACTATCCTGATACTATCCTGGTACTGATTTTCTGAGACCTACCTGGGTTCAGGCAAACCGGAACACCTCCTGATTGAGATCGCCTTCTCAGAACTGGGCTACATGAGACGCAATAAGAGCAGATCGACTCGCTCCTCGGGAGGCAGGCCTCGTGGAGTCTCGGAGGCGGCCATCTTGGCTGTGTTGGCTGAGTGCAGCAAGATGTCGGTGAGCACACAGACCGGCGGCTCGGAGGATCTGTCCCCCTCACCTACTAGCTCTGACATCCTGGAGGCAATCACCTCCTGTAAAGAGGCGCTCACAAACAAAATTGATTCCCTCTCAGCTGATGTAAGCTTTCTGCGCCAGGATATGGATAAATTCCGAACGCGCATGGGAGAGGCGGAGGCCCGGATTTCGCAGGTGGAGGAGACCACGCGGGTGGACTCGAACGAGATACAACGGCTACAACGGCAGCTCCAGGGCCTACAAGATAAGGCAGTAGATACCGAAAACCGGCTACGCCGCAATAATATCCGCGTGCTGGGCCTGCGGGAACGTGCGGAGGGGAAAACACCGGCCGAATTCGCTGAAACCTTCCTGGCTAAGCTCCTGGACCTCCATGACCTACCACCGACCTTTGTGGTTGAGAGGGCCCATCGAGTTCCGCCCGTGCCGCCAAAGCCGGGGGCTCCGGCCCGACCGTTCCTTATCCGCCTGCTAAACTACAGGGATAGGGACCGGGTCCTGGCCGCAGCTAGAATTCACCCTGAGTTACTATATGAAAATGCCCGTATCTCACTATAATGACCTGTAGGAAAGGTTGTTATTGTTAATTTTTTTGTTAATTTTCTATTTAGACCTTAAGCATGGCTGTATGCTGTATTATTGTATGCATTGCTATGCCTGGTGTCCTCATGGGACACAAATAGCGTGCACCGTTGTGCCTTAATATGTAAAACAATAAAAAAAATTATAAAAAAAAAAAAAACATGAAATACCTAAGGCAGTAATGCCAAACTGTGAGACCTTTTGGTGAGGTCTAACTGACCTTTTGCAGCCTTGGCTGCAGGAAGGAGCATTGCCCTGCTCTAATGGAGTATTAAAAAGTTTAGTAATCCAGGGTTTTTAGTTAATCAGTTTGATTTGTGACCTGACTAATTTATACAGTTCATGGTTAACTAGATTAAGTCTGTGCCTTAACTGCATTAAATCAGCTACCAAACATGTGTAACTCAGTTGTGTTAGTAGTCATAGGGACGAATTTAGACTGCTATAATTATATTTTATAGATATTTCAACTACTTCTTAAATCTTAAAGCACACTGCTAACTACTATCCTTATCTAAACTGGCCACAAAACATAACCTAGGGTAATTTGATAAGAGCATTGGCTCTTCTGTGGAAACACCTGAATATAGAAGCCCAGGCTTATACCATTTACAGAACACACCACTTCTGATCACCTCTATACCTTTATGATTATAATAAGCTGATCTTTTAGCTAACCCTTGACAAGAATTAGCTGGCTTAGATTGATAGAGCATAACAAAACTGGCAGAAAGATAGGAGCAGAGTGTTCTGCGCCTATTAGAGAGAGTCATGTTGGAGGGTCCGAAATCTGTGATATCGGTCATAATAAAGACGTTGAGGTTACATAGTTACATAGTATTTGAGGTTGAATAAAGACATAAGTACATCAAGTCCAACCTATTGCTGATATATGCTGATATATATATATATATATAGGCCCATGTTGCATCTCATTCTTAGGAGTACTTGTACCCCTGTATATTACGGTCTCTTGGGAAATCGTCCAAAAGTTTCCACACTCTTAGCTGCAATCACTGCCGGTGGCAGTGAGTTCCAGACCCTAACCGCTCTTACTGTGAAATGATGGTCACATATACAACATTTTTCCTGTGTCTATGCTGTGGAACCTTTCAGGTGAATACATGATTATTTTAAAGCAATCAGTTGTGAATTATTTTTTAATTCATTCTACATCTGTCAGTTCAGAAATGTAACTTTGAACTAAATGTAATGGTTAAGGCTGGACATCTGCCTTTCAGAGAAATGGTGGTTTAGAAGGTCGTAATCAATAGGGAATCTATACCTGTAAGCATATAGATCCTGCTTATTTACTCTTATTGGATTCCACTACTCAAATAACCTATTATTTAATTTTGATGTGTTGCTTGCATAGAATAAGGATATTTTCCCAGAGTCTCAGTCGTTGAGATGTTTAGTAGTAAAGCACACCCGGGCCAAATAGGATTATGAAATAAATTTGTATTTAGAGAAATATGTAGGCTGATACTGTTGACTCACATCTGGTTTCACTAGTACGGAACCAGTATGTAGAATATGAAGTGAGTACTACTGAGCTTTATATTTGTTAGTGACTCAGAAGTATTGAAATCACTGGATCAGCATGATAGTCCGGACACTGCTCTTTTCAGAAGTAAGTCAGTAATGTCAGACTAATTATTACCTTTGGCACAGGATTTATGTTAGTAAGTAATGGCTTTCATTTACAACTGCAATAGCAAATAAAGATTATTGAGCCATACTCCAGAGACGGTACAAAATGTTTGCGAACCATTGGTCAGTGCATAATTCCATGTTCCTGAAAGATGAACATGATGTAAATGTAAAAGCTTTGAAACTTGCCTTACATTTCTTTGCCTCTTGTTTGGAGAAAAGTTGTACCTGGTTTAGCAGAATTTTAAAATCTTTTTTCATGACACAAATACAATTTATGATACTTAGTAGTGACCACAAAGTATTGTATGCTGTTCAGTATTGCACACATTACTACTGTATATAAAGATGTAACAAGTGTTAATGATTACATACTACTTATTTATATGTAACATTTAATTTTATTACATTTTTCATCTGCTTTCTGTTATGTTGTTTTTAATAACATCTCAAGTTGATGTTAGATATTTCACACAGTTAACTAATCCAAATGGATGGTCCCTGCCATAGAAAAACTGTCATACTTACTGTAACTCCCTGGTGGCTCATGCCTTCTAACTTCCTTCCCTTCAAGTGCTTCAGTCTCCGTCAGATTCTGCAGCCTTCGACACTTCCGGGAGTGTTGGATGACTCTGTCTCCCACAATGCGATCTGGTTCTTTCCCTTGTCCCCCACGTCACTACAAAACTGCAGAACCAGCACACAATGCTCTTCCAAAGAAAATCAAACTTTAATCCACACGCATCTATACAAAAATACAACCACTGACGCTTTTCTTCCTTTCTCGGCCTATCATAGCCAACTGATATCAGAGCTATGACTAAGGCAGAGTAAAGCAGAAACACGTCAGCAATTGTTTTTTGTACAGATGCATGTGGAATTAAGTTTGTTTCTCTTTGGGAGAGCATTGTGTGCTGGTTCTGCAGTTTTTGAGACAATCACACCAGAAGAGGGTTATCTGTGTACTGAATGTAGATTACAAGGATGCATGACAGGGGTGAGCTGTGCGCATTGTGTTTCTAGTACATCACTAGAGTGATTGTTAAATACAGACAGAGACTGCAGCTCTTGAACAGAGGGAAGGTAGGAGACATAGACCATCATAGAGGTGAGCATAATACCTCTTGTATTGCAGGGACTTAGTATTTTCATTTTTTTTTAGGGAACTGACACGGTCTCTTTAATGATCAAGGCACTGGCATACAAAAATGTAAGTACGTTGTTTAAGGAAATAAAACAAAGTAAGTCTATACACACCTGTGCAGTTTTTAGCCGTTCTAGCATCTCCGTAATACCCCGGTGCACATCGCTCACAGTGAAATCCTGTGGTGTCACCCATACAACTGTTGCATTGCCCTGTGACTTCATTGCAGTCTTCAAAAATCATGTTGGGATCTGAGTTTCCACTGCAGTCACATTTTCGACATGTGCCACCTATTAGCAGTGGGCTGCCATAATAGCCTGGTGCACACCTAAAATAAAAGAGCAGTAACCATAACAAGCTGTACTGTTTTCAGGAAGACACCTTGTAAATCATCTTATAAAATGTTACCTAAACCAGACCTGTTTATAAGTTTAGTAGAAAATTTGGTCATGGTTACATTAACATTTTTACATGCTGGCAGTTTAGAAAAGTGTTATTGATTGTGTCTTAAAAGCTGCATATAAAATTCACTATTTGCCATTCGTGTAGTTTTTCGATTTAAATGCTTCTTCATGGAACCTATAAACATTTATTATTAAGTATTGCAAAGGAAAATGTAGCAGGAATATCCTTTCCTACAGCTGTACAAAAAAAACGGACTCTTTGCATTAAAACTTTTGTCAGTTCATCAGTTACCAAAGTGTTTCCATTTTAACTAACATTCCTGCTACAATGGGTCTTTAAGTACATTCATTGGTATTATATGAAATGAAAGATCACATGCACATTTTGGACAGAATATAAATATTTTGCAATGGTCTTTAGATTGTGAGATGTAAACCATATGCTTTATGGCCCAAAAAAGTGCCATCAGCATATATCATGCCTGATATTCTTCTGTATATAAAATGGTCCAGCTGTTTGCTACACTGAAATAACTATAGAGAGTGGATTACGTCAAGTGTAATGTAGCTGTAACATTTTCACATAAATATGTCTAAAATTGTATGGATCGTTTGACTGGATAAAGGCCCTGCAGACACTATGAGGATTGACAAATGTCAAATTTTCAATTGACTTTTATCGAAGGAGCCAGATGAAAAACTGTTGGCCAAACAGTGACTATTATTATTATACAGGATTTATATAGCGCCAACAGTTTGCGCAGCGCTTTACAAAACTGAGGATGACAATACAATTAACAATACAATTTCAGTACAGGAGGTAGGAGGGCACTTACAATCTAGTAGCAGCCAATATTCTGACAGCTGCAGCTGCTGGCTGTCTGAATATGACAGCCAGAAGGGGAGATTCCTTCATCCAAGCTCATTAGCATGGCTTAGGGAATTAAGTGATTTTGCTCATTTCGACTGAGGGGCTGAATGCGAAAAGTGTTACAGTGTATGACCAGCTTAGAAATTTGCTGTAAGATAGAAGAATGTATAAAAATAATATAAGTAGCTGTTTTTTAAAACAGGGATGCTGACAATTAATGGTGACATTTTTGGTACTATTTGATAAATAATAATAATAATATTATTATTAATATTATTATTTGCCTTTACTTTTTACTTTTCGGATTATTCCAAATTTTTGTACAACCCAATGCAATGTAAACTCATACCCAATAAATAATGTTAAAAGAGAACTAAAGCAAAGCTTTTTTTGGTATTAGTCCTCTTTTGGGTCAAAGAACTATGTTTACTAATATACTCCTGTTGCCTAAAGTCAGCATCTAGTGGGGTGTTGATAGCGCAAAGCCATGCTGCAGCCAGGAAAGACCCTGACAATATTGTCAGGATCCTCCTCGATGCCTGATTGACAGCTGTCTCTGTCTCTCTAGAGCCAGAGCCAGCTGTGCCTGCCCCCTCCTCTGTCTGTTCCCCCAATGAGCGCTGGAGGAACAGAGAGAGGGGAAGAGGAATCCCTGTGAGGAGAGGTGACCGACAGTCACTGCTCTCTGCAGGGAGAAGCTGTGAGCTGAGTAATCAGCGGGTTCGTGAATGCTCAACTCTCAATTTATAGAGCCAGAGCCAGCACTGTCAGGTGCCAGCTCTAAGTATAGGGAAGAGTACATTTTACTCTCCCAATACTTCACCTTTAAGCACTGATATGTAAAAACTAGGGTTGATTTACTAAAGGAATTGATAAGATTCACATAATTAATTGAGTCAACATTGACCTGAATTATCCAATCACATGCAGGTGAAATAAGTAAACAGGAATCTGCTTTCACTATGAATGGTTATTTGAAGTGATTAATCATGCAATTTATGGTGTGAAAATTCTCAACTCTTTAAGTAAATCAGCCTCCTTGTACCACTTCAGTTATACATTTCCCACTTTTATCACCAGCTACTGGCCCTTTCCTGTAAAGCCCAATTCACACAGACATACAGAACATTTTCTTTGCTTTATTGAAGCTTTCCAATTGCTCTGCACAGTCAATGTCTCTTCTGTAACAAAAACAAGTAAACCATCTAGTACACACATTAAAATCAGAATGTGTTTGCTTTGTGCTGTTTTTGATCTTGCCAGCAACATTTGGCCGGAAATGGCAACATGAGAAATGCCTCATTTCAAACCAATAACAGCACACCCTAAGCGCACTTGACATGCCTACAAGACTTTTAGTAAGCTTATGCTTTTAAAGAAAAAAAAGTCCTAAAAGCATCAGATAAAGGTTTACAAGTGTCACCTAAAGGCATCTAAAGTGCGTAAAAACTCTAGGCATTTCACAAGCATTTCAAACAGCTATATTTTCAATGCCGGTTCAAACTTAACCATAGTGTGTATAATAGAGTGTATATTTTTGGTGTGTATTATAGAGCTATAACTCTATTAAAAATAAATAGAAAATAATTATTTACAGTAAACCTGTTCAGTTTTCTTCACCACACAATATCCAAAAACTAATAACTTAAAGCTCAAGCAGGTATAAAAGGCACAAGAAACAATGCAGCTCTGTAATCAATATACCTTTAAATGTACTGCACAAGGAACCAATCTAGTATTCTGAAGTGAACAGGAAAGAGAAATGTGACAGAGAAATCAGCTTGTTAGTGTGCTGTTTCTCCTTTCACTGCACAGTCAAAGAGTGGTGAGAGGACCTGAAAGTGAAATTGCAGCAGAGATGGTTAACGCCCCCTCCTCTGCTAGACAGGGCTGTGCTGTGGAATATAGCTGGGTACATTTTATTAGTGGATGGACTTTAAATTCCTTTAGCAGGTATAACAGCTCCCAATATATTTAGCTATTTGCCTGGAGTTCACTTTTAATGCTATATCCAGAGTGAATACAGTGTGTGATGCTGGAAAAAATTTGCTTTATTTAATCTGATTAGATGACTGTATAGATTCTTGGGTAAAGGACAGGTAGGGCTTGAGTCTGTGAGCTTAGCAGTAAGAACACGTATGCATATACATTCATATTGAAAGGTGATGTGTAAAGAACATTCTTTTCACAAGGTCCTTACCTTTCACATTTAGGTCCAGCAAAATTTTCTTTACAAATGCAGCGCACAGAACCTCTCTTCAAAGCACAAGTAAGGGCAAAGCTGTTGAAAAGGATAAAAGTTAAATGTAATCAACAAACAGAGAACTGCTTTTAGTACAGTGGAATACATACTATGAGTACAGTGGGTAAAAGAACAGATTGGTTACCAGCAATTTCATATTTGCATTAAAGAATAGGCTTGGGGCTTCTTTGCACAGTATTCCAGTGCTTGATAAGGCAGTGCTTGATAATCAGATTTAGTGATTTAGTGGACAGAGGTCTTTAAATGCCTGTATAATAAACACACATGGAGCCTCCTGATTCCAAGGTCAAATGCAATGACCACAAAGCAAAGGATGTCAACATGTTATAACTTATTGATGTAATTTAGCATCTGCTCCTGGGTTTTTAAAGTAGAGCTGAGCCACAACTTTTTTTTTTAGATTTTATATTATTTGAATAAAAAAGGACAAACGTGTGGGCGCAAAGCTGAAGGGGCTATATGACTAAGTGAGACATAGTGAGAGATAAAACAGAAGGAGATGTGGCACTTACTTTGAGTGGATCTCAGCACCAGATGGGGGCCGGTCTGTGGGGAGGATCGTGAGAACCGAGGTGTGTATTCAATGAGGACTGGTGTGCTGCCTGAGGCTGTTCATCTTGAGGAGGGAAGCGATGGTGAGAAGAGAGCAGAGGCCAGTGATGGCCAGTGGCCAGTGCCCGGGACGTGATGATGATGTTGAATGAAAGGACGGCCGGGATGGAAGTGGTGTCTTCCATTGAGCTTGATAAAGAGGTTGTATCCTCGAAACGCGTTGCTCCCGAACCTCCACCCAATATTATTTGAATAGAAGGTTATAACCCCTGTCTGTTTTTTGTCATCTGTGTCTCCTTCCAGCCTGATAACCACAACAGGAAGTGAGAGGAAATCCCTCCAAATAGAGGGAAATACCTGGTGGTCAACATCGTCATCATCAGAACTAGTTTCCCCACTGGAAAATTATCTATTTCTGTTCTGATGATAACTCAAATTTGCACTTTACTTTCAGTGACGGTCACCTAACCGGGACACAGATAGCAATAAAAACCCAGCAGATGTTCTAATCCTTCTCCTCTCTATTCGAAAGGTAAAAAAGTTTTGGCATTGTTTAGTACTTTAAATGCAATCAAAGTGTATAATAGTTAGGGGGATTCCCCTCTGTTGAAATGTTAACCAGCTATAGGGGTCATGTGCCAAGGGAAAATTAGGCAGTTGTATTGTGAATGTCATGGTGAAAAGTTGATCCAGAAATTGCTGTTTTACAAAGAGGCGTTGAGTTAAAAAAACTAGAATAAAATGTAACCTCTTATGAGTGCTGTGGTTCCTCTTTGGCAAACATAGAACAATTACATCCTTATGGATTAGGATGGCTTATCTATAGCATACTTATAGCTATGTCATAAATAAATATCCTCCCATTATTCTTTCTTTTTTCTTCTTCTATTATATGCACTTCCTGTTCTTTGTTTGTTCCTGTAAAGATCTATGATTATAGTGGATATTAACCCTCATCTACTACCAAGAGGCTATCTTAATATCCAAGTGACTACAGACTGGAATTTCTATAAATGGTCTACAGTAATCAGGCTCATTCACTTTGAGAACTTTTCTGCAGTTGAAGTAAGAGATGGGACATCTGGTGTAATAACAAAGAAATGATTACATCTGCTTCATCCCAGTAGAGGCTAAGAAGAATCCTGTTCATGGGAATAAAACAGAAAGTAACTGTTCCCATCAGAGCTGTGATGAGATCATGCGTAGTCTTCTCTCCCCTAGAGGAAAGGCAAACATCTATGTAATTGATAGAAGAAAAATCTAAACTCATATTTTCAACAGGCTCTGAAAAAGATTTGATAAAACTTAATTTAAAAGATTTAGCACAATTTAAAAATCACACACATTCAGCCTGTGAGTTTTTGTACCAGTGTTACAAGTAGACACTGTTAGATTAACACAGGGTTTGGTGCTCCTTTTTTTTCTAGAATAGTCAAGTTAGCACCAGTGAGCTTATATGTTTGCATCAAATATGAGTCTGGTTTCTGAGCATTGTCCAAGATCTCCACCGTAAGTCCTGTACTTTGTGGCTTTGTAAGTGTTGGAGCATAGAAGGATCTATATGGGTCACCAGGTACCTCCACCAATTCCCTTTGTGATCATTCCCATTTTCTTACATTGACTCTTGAAGTCCAAATCCAGGCAAAGCTTTTAAAAGCTCTGCCATATTTTTTATTTCTGTTAGTGATCGTGTTTAGTAGATTTTGTCTTACTTTTTATCCTGTGAAACCAAGACAAAGAATGAGGTGTATAGGTGTCTCTGTGAGAAGAAGACACAGGCAGTAAAAAACACTTCACTGATGTTCCAATCTTTCCCCATTTACTAAATACAATTGTTTGTGTTGCTGTATCTTTCCTTGTTGGAGACTAGGACAAAACGTAAGGAGAAATTAACTACTTTTAACTACAGTTCTCCTTTAGGTATATGAATCATTATCCAACACAACCTTAATACCTATTTTAGTTTGAAATGCAAACCTTCCTTCAGGACAAAATATATTTGATAATCTTTTCTGTTACTTTTATTACTGTGTAATAAAAGTATTACAAAATTGGGTTTTGTTCACAGGATCAAAAGCAACATACTTGTTGGAACTGAACTGCAGTGGACAGGGACATTGCAGGCAGGATTTTAGTACTCCTTGGACTACATCAGCCATGTAACCAGTTGGACATCTCTCACAGTGCTTGCCTGTTGTATTTCTTTGGCAGTCCTGTGCAAAAAAAAGAGAAAGATGAAACAGTACACACCTGAGGGACTAAATGGTCAGCTATTCTGCACTACACAAGTATCATTTTAAAGAGATGCAAGTGTACTTTGATAGCATGTGAGGAACAGAGTGCTACTATGTGGTGTGAAATCATCTGTTATTTCTTTTTACTAGAAAGGACATTGAAAATGTAGTGTAAAAATGGCTCTCTTACCAGCTTGAATGCTCCTGCTGACTTTAGAAAAGACCTGCCTCTACCAATGTAACAGTCAAGCCTAGTAAACCTAGTGATCTGTCAATAGTGTTGTTATGTGACTCTGTGAATCTGTGCTGGTCACACAATACTTTGCGTATGATGTAACTCAGAAGGATACACCAACCTCGAAACCAGCAGAAAATAAAATAAAGTGACTCTGTTACTGCAGGAGTAAGCCCATGCTGTAAAAAAAAGATGCTTTATACTTACCTTTCTGGGGGCCTGTTGGTTAAAACTCTGGTATGTGTCGGTTCTCTGGTGGCTGCAGTTATTCAACACTTCCAGGTGTGTTGAATACATGCTACCTCATTAAAGGATGTACAAGTTGGTGGAATGAACCACTTTGCACCACCTTGGAGAAGATATTTAACACACCCTAAAGTTTCTGATACCTGTAGTGTATTGTGTTGTAAAGGCAGCATGCCAGAGTTTTACCATGTGGGCCACCAAAAAGGGAGGTATATGGTTTCTTCTTTACTAATGAAAGAATCCTAACTCTTCCCCTGAAAAATACTAGGCCATATTGTTTATATTTGAATTAATAATGTTTGTCAGTTATATGGATAACCAGAGCTCCTTTATCCTTGAAAAAAATAAATGTGATCTCCTCATTTAATATGCCTTTGGGATTTTGATACTCCTTCAAATCCACCCTGTGCTCCATTGATCACACTTTTGCAAGTTGCGCTCATAATTCATAACATTTCCTAACCCTGGTGAAGCACTAAGGTTACTGTCTTATTTTCTTATTGATGGGATGGGTGTACCTACTAGTAATCTGATCTCAGGCCTATGGAGCACAACTTGAAAAGGCTGTAATGTGAAATTTCATTTCGTGTCATTACATATTATTTGTCTGTTCTGATATTTCCAGCTGTTACCACATGCAGAGAGCCTGGCCTTTGAGTTCTTAAAGCATACTCATAAATTTCGTTGCAAGAGAAAACAACTTCAGTTGTTCACTAATGTGGTCAGAAATGTTGTGTTGACATAGGGAAAGAAGACCAGCACGTCCACACTCTCCTGATTATTTAAGTTAACTGTCATTTTCCTTGGTCAAGAAAAAGCTACAGGGAGTTGATGCTCACAACAGCACCGCTAGATACATATGTATATAGAATAACAAGAGCCATATGTGGTTTACTAACCATACACAGATTGTATTTGGCCGCAGACCAATAACATTTTGAGTTTGAGCTGTTGGATATCCCTTGGTTCTTTTATTACCACTAGTGGAAATGGCTCCTTTGTTATCGGTACATTGCAATTCTTCTGAATCTTTTATTACCAGAGCTGGTAATTGGGCAGTCAAGTTGGGTCGTCACTAGCTACGCCAAATATGACATTCGTAAAAAGCATATTTTATGTTATTTTATATCGTATTGTTCACTGGTGCTTCAAGATTTACTGTATTTTTCGCTCCATAAAGACCATAGGTTTAGAGGAAAAAAACGCTGGTACTACATGTATTGTTTAGAGGCAGTGAAACAACTTTATTTACTGCCTCCACAATGCCGCTGCCCGTGTTGCCTGTGTCTAATTTCTGCATACTGAGACTCCTCCCTTTCCCTGTCATGTGGCATGGCACAGGAAGGTGAGAAGCTGGTCAGACACAGAAGTTAGACAGCGGCAGCACGGGCAGCGGCATTATGGAAGAGGTAAATAACGCTGCTTCGCTGGCTCTATAAGTAGTACAAGCGGCCCCTCCCCTCCCATCGCTCATGCGAGTGATTACTGGTACACTGTCAGCCCCGCCGCCTCAGCTCTCACACACACATCACCCATAAGATGCACAGACATTTTTGCCCGCATTTTGGGGGGAAAAAAAGTGCATCTTAGGCATGGTTCACACCTCTACGTTTTATAGCGCGTTCAACGCTCTACGAACGCTCTACAAAACGCTCTACAAAATACTCAAACATGAAAATCCCATTGTTTTCTATGGGTATGGTTCACACCTTGTCGTATTTCAGCCCGTCTGAACGCGCTACAAAACGGCCTACGCCTGAAAAGGTACAAGAGCTTTGTTGCGCGTTTCCATTGGGATACAGCCAAGTAGCCCCCGGAAACGCTCGTTTGTCGCACGTTTTTCTTGTCGCACGAAAACGCACGACAAACGCGCATATTCTATACGCCTAGGTGTGAACAAAGCCTTATGGAGCGAAAATATGGTAAATACTTATTTAAAGCTTAGTCGAACTATAATGTTAATATTTGTTTAAAATTTGTTTAATATTAAAATTTGTTTAATATTTATTTAAAACCCAATTGAATGTTAATAAGTCTGATCTTCTTTCAATATTTTTCTTTAACCAGTTGACATCCACGGTGTTAAACCCCCTTCCCATCCAGGCCATTTTTCAGTATTCAGCGCTGAGCGTGCCCGCTAGGGGCGCGTGCGAGCAGAAAAAAAAATGCCGTCTGGCGACGGCAACCCGCCAATGCAGCAGTGCCGTCCGTCCGTTTTTTTACAACGGGCAGACGGCAAGTGGTTAACTGGTAAGTTCTGCAGCAAGGGCTAAAATACCCTGTGCTGCAGCAATCTGCACAGTCGGACCACAAATCTCTTACACAAAGCAGTGGCCCAGTTTTTTTACTTGAGGTGTTGTCGACTCCAAAATATTTTAGTTATTAGTGGATATGGTAGTTGACAGTGACCTATGTTTCCAGACTATGCTATTAGCTCCTCACCCTGGATTTGAATTTGAGTCCCTGTTGCTGCTGCCCTCCTGGCAACAATCTCTAGCACTACCTGATCTATGCTTCTGTCTCTTTGGTACTGTCTATGTCCAGCTTTTTCACCACCTTCAAATGTAATTATTACCCACTGTGTACCCTCTGGATTGGTTCACCAAGTAGCACTACCCTAGCCACCTTGTTGGGCTATTGTTATCCTGTCGAGGTGTCTATAATCTGCTGCATAAATTCCTAGGGCACTCACAACAGTACATTTATTTAAATGACCCAGAAAGATAGCTGCTAAAGATTAAGAGCGGTGTAGCTATACACTGAGTGGCCAGATTATTATGACCACCCCATCAGTACTTCGTTGGGCCACGAGATGACTCCACGAGATGACTTCGTTGGGCCGCCTCGTGACTCCACGAGATGTTGAAAGGTGATGCGAGGAATCTGACACTGCACTGTTGCCCTTCTGTTGTCTTGTACCAGTCTTGCCACTCTCCGTTCTGCCCTAACATTGACTAGTCGCTGACGGCCACAATTCGCACGTTCAGACCCAGATTTTCGTTTTTTTTAAAATTATTTAAATCTGCAATACCACATACAGGCATCTTATGGGTACCTTTAGGCAAATGATTGATCCTTGTACCATATTACACGTTTCATAGAGTGCTTACTGTGACAAAGATATGAAGGGACAGCTGTGGGTAGGAAAGGGTCTTTTTTAAAACATTTAATCAATTACTTAAAAGGAGATTTTACAAGTTGCCTTTGGCATTTCAGAGATTTTAAAAAGGAGTTTTGGACATGACCTTCCAGATTTAATAATCTATGCCTCTTCCTCTGGAACATCACAAAAACAAAGACTCCCTTGTTCAGTTATATTCAGCTTTATGCTTTTCTGCTTAAATGATTTCATTGAGCATACACGGTACGTTAAGTATGAGAGGAAATGTAGTCATGGTAAAAAAACTTGTTTTAACTATTCCATATGGGATGGTGATCCATTGCTGGTCTCAGAACGGAAACATCACACAAGAAAGACATTTGTCAAATATGTTCATAACATTTACTACTGCATACTTATTCTGTACTTTAAAAAGTCAGTACTTAAAGTACCACATTAATTAATTTACATTTTGTGACTTTTTTTTTTCATAATATTTTTTAAAGACAACACATTTAAAATAAGTCTGTCAGAATAGAAAAATAGGAGCTACAAGCCCCAGAGCATGCACCAATGGCAGCTTCCATATTTCTGTTCTGACAAATTCCTTTTAAAACGACTTTGATACTGTGAGGTAGAGATATCCACACATAAATGCAGTAGCATTTCATGCCGCCACCGGTCTGCCCAATGCTGGGCTATTCTGCCTGAGAAATGCATTGGCACTTCCCATTAATGTTGAAGCTTGCCCGTCCACTTTGATCTCTAACGCATTCCTATTGGCCAACCCATTCCTTTTGGCAGGCAGTTCATGATAGTGACGGACTGATAGCAATGTCTGGGGCTAGTGGAAAGCTTCAACACTACCAGCTTGAGAAGATTAGAACAGCTGGGATTAAGGTATGGCAGAAGGGGGACTAAAAACCTTTAACTGCCTGAACTTTTTACCTGTTTACAGCTTATTATCTTAAAGGAGAACTATGGGGTTAAGACTTTTCCCCATAGTTCTCCTTAGGGTAACGGGAGGACACAAACTAGCGTCCTCCCGTCACCCTAGGCTCAGTATACCGCAAGCTGTAGCTCGCGGTATACTGAGATGCCGCAGCTGAAGCGGATCCCGACAATTGTGCCGGGATCCGCCCAGCTGCGTGACTGATAGCTGGCTCTGCCTATCTAGAGGCAGAGCCGGCTGTACCCGCCCCCTCCCCTGTCCGTTCCGCCAGTCAGCACTGGCGGATCGGAGCGGGGAGGGGGGAATCCAGCCCCTCTCCTGTCACGGCAGAGAGCCGTGACAGGATCGAGAAGTGAGCGAACGTCGGTATGTGTTCGCTCACCTCCCTATCTACTGAGCCAACCTGTGACAGTCTCATTGTCACAGGTTGGCTAGAACTATGAGGTGAGTGAAAAGCCCTCACCTCATAGTTCTCCTTTAATAAAGTGACAAAATCACTTTAAAGTTGCATAGTGTCATCAGATTTGATGGGAAAGAAGAGTCAAAATGTGTTTGTCTTCGGGGCATTTTTCCTGTAAAATTGTAATATTTATGTTCCAACCAACGCTCGAGAAGGTAGAGATGAATGTCCATACCTCACGCTTTATTTTGACACCTGCACATACCAGCAATTACTACAGTCCTCTTTCACCTTTCCTATGCTATGGAGGAAGTAAACGAGAAGACAGGTGAGAAAACTGTTATTGTTTCTCCTGTGACAATTGAAGCTTAGATCCACACCCTCTACACTAGGGATGAGGTTCGTACAGAAATAACTTAAGTTCGTTGCAAAGTACTTCGTCTTTCAGGTTCACAATCCCAGGGCAAATTTCTTTGGCTATTTTTGTTTTTTTACACCATAAATGCACTGCAAGCCCTTTGAGCCATGACCACAAGACTTAGAATGGCCAAAAGAGGACTTTTGGATAAGACAGCCCCCTCACTCTAAAAAGGAGGAGATTATAATGAAGTTAGTGTGGGGAAAAATAGGAAGAAGCTGAAAAACTGGACAGGGAAAGATTAGAGTTAGTTGGAAAACTATTCTTTAATCCGGATTGCCAGCTCTTTAGACAATCACCCACTTTGCTGCTTTTTTGTTATAATTATTGGGGACTTACTGTCTTTAAATTTAGTTTGTGGTTAATTTGAAGGCAGCGGTCACTTTTAGCTGCGGTTCTGTCTAGAGCAAATTGATTTTTATTGCTGCAAGGCTTCTCTTAGAGAAAATTGGCCTTTGGATTTGCGGTGTTATCTGGGGATTTCATTTCTTTTGGGGGTATATTGCTTTTTATTTTATGCTAATAAGGCTTTTTTACTTGTTGCTGACCAAAAGAAAGGATCACAGCTCAGCAGTTCTCTCTGATCCTCTTGTAAAGTGGAAGGAAAAGCAAGCTAACTGACGTGCAAACTGTATGTAGTAGAGTCCAGCACTTCAACTTGAGAGTGAATGAGCTGTGATCCCTTCTTTTCATCAGCAGCAAGTGAATGTGGTACTGCTTGCATTATTTGTAAGGTAAAAAAACGAAGTGCTCTGCCGCAGATCACTGCATGCCAGCTACTGTGCGGGGATCTGTATGGAGGGTGCACATTGTACACTACCAATAAAGTTGGTAGTTTAAGGTTTAAAAAAGTAAACAGTGACAGATTCAGCATTGTGCACTACAATACACACTGCTGGAGATGCCACAACACACTAGCCCGCCCATTAAAATGCAGTGTATTAGCAAATAAGCCAGTGCGGGGCCCTTAAACTACCTGTAATTTAAAATATTTGTGTATTTTCCATCTTACCCTCACAGCTACATGAAAAGGACCCTAATATTGTATTTTTTTAATTTTTATTTTTATTTCCGCATTGGTACATGCCCAGGTTCTCTTGCCTTTTTATTTTCAAAAGCTTGCCCATCAGCCCCAAAAAAGGCAAGCATTTTTAAAAAGGATTCTTATATACATTATTCTTATTATTTTTATTATTATATTGCATAGACTTCCAGAGGAGATTTGATGAACTTTAAACAAGAATTGCCAAAACCTTGGTGAATTAAGCCCAGGCAAATTAGCTCATTGTTACTCTGCACAAGAAAGACAGGAGATACAATATTACTATGGTATGGTTAATAGGTTATGGAAAGAGAATGTGTTCAAAGTTCATATATTGTTGCTTCCTCATTGCATATGGTAACATCGGTAGGCTCAGTGAGAGCTATTATTAATGTTACAGTGAAACCTAAAAGGTAGCCGATTCAGTATACACATAAGCAAACCTTGTGGAGCTAAACATAAACTGAACTGAAACGGTCCGATTTTCAGCTAATGTCTTCTGACCACAGATCACAATGTTCATCTCATATAGCAGTTCCGGCTAAGGTCTAAACCCGAAGGGTTAAATGCAAGTTATAAAGTGTGTTGTATTACAAATGCAGCATTTATGTGTATGTTGGGTAAAAGTTTGTTACAAATTGTTAAACATTTATAGTATGTGCTATTGTTAGTTCCTAATTAGTGTCCCTACTTGGCTTAATCTTTAAAAATAGTGAAACAGATTTTCTGCCATTAACTGGCTGAGAATCAGAGTGGGTTCCCTAGATGGCAACAATTAGGTATGAGCTTCAGGTTTGGGTTGAACAGGAGTGGGACCCGAACCCAAGTAATTCGTAGGTTCGGCTAATAGTGAACTAATGTGATTGTTCAATGTCATAGCAACCAATTAGCAATCATGCACTTCTTGGCCTTTGAACTGTGGTCAGGTGACTTAGAAAGGCCACCAGATGCACCAACTCCCTCCTTATAAAAGTAAGCGTTCCCAGCAGCCCTTTGTCACTGTGTGGATGGAGGGACAGTGTTGTTTGCAGGGAGAGATAGTTGCTAATCTGTGCTATATATAATATGTTAAAATGCTGTGTTGTGCTACATTATTACAGCACATTCCAGTGTGCAAATTCCAGTGTGGTGGGTTACATAGTTCACTTTATTCACTGTCCTGTATTGTGATAAATAATGGTAAAATGCTGTGTGTTAGGGTTCTATTTAAATGTGTACCTACCTCTGCCTTCACTGTGAATAGAGCCCATAGTCCCTTTTATGGCTACCTTTTTGTGTGTTTTAGCAACAACTTCAGTTGCTGTTTAACTGCTGCCCCCCAAAGGCCCCTTGCAGATTTATTTTGTGTTTGATTGCTTTTTTTATTTTAAAATCCATATATTTGTTTAGTTTCTAATCAGTTTAAAAACACATATATGGATTTGAGTTCAGTGTTTAGTGTTTTAGGGAGGCGATGTTTAATGTTTTAGGTTTTTTTTCTTGAGGGAGGTATATTTAATTTAAATGTACTTTTGCTATGATATTTTTAGTTTTTATTTCGGGGTCAGCAGGCTGAACATGTTGCTGACACAGGCAAAGCTGACCATTATTTGAAGCACATCATAAATACTAGTGCAGTACAGTTTATTGCACCAAATCATCAAATTGTTAAGTGCTCTAAAACACTACATTCTCAATCCCCCATTGCCATAGCTGCTAATAAAGTTAGGCAATCAATACCTGAAGTAGAGGACTTTAGCTTTTTTTAAAATTTCTTGTAAGAGTGCAATTTTCTATAGCTTTTAGGTCTGTTGTGTCTTCTACTTCCAAGGGTCAATTTAGGCCTATTAGGTTTCTCTAAAAACAGCCAAAACTACCTAAAAAAAGCCTTGCTTGAAATTAATCAGATTCAGGTGCTGATATCGTATTTAAACCAAGCAATAATGTAAAAGTTAAATAATCTATTACACATGATAGCTGTATGATGCCAGAATACGGTGTCACTGGCACTTTCTGTGAGAAGCATACTATTCCGTAACACTGTATACAGCTTAGAGACATCTTTCAAGCCTGTATTAGACATAAATTGCAATATTCTATGTCCCCCTTGAATTTGCATAAAAAGGAGCACCCACTTTCCGCTTAACAGTATTTCCGCTTTAATCTTTGACATTGGTACATGTCTCCCAAAGCCAATTACCATCTCCCCATTCCCTTTGTTGCCAATCCCATGCCTATTAGCCTTGAAATTGGCCAGAATTGATATTCAAGATTCGCCCTCACAGACAATGGAGTTCAGGTTAAAGTTAGCAACTTCCAGAATTACCATGAGTTTGACAAACATCCCACAAATCAAATCCAGACCTCTTTACTCATCCTCATACTCATTGATGATGAGGACGTCTGAATGTTTCCAACATGAAAGTGTCACTGATTTTACCCTTTTCTTTGGAGAGTTCTAACATAAACATTTCATTTTGCTGTGAATCTTAATTCCAATAACAATAACAAACCAGGAATTTTCATAGTTTTTAGAGTAGATTTTACATTAGTGGCTGTCTGTTAACCATATGTACCCAAAAGGCAACATTTCTCTATGGTTTGCATACTTGTAGTAGATAAAAACAGATGTTTACTGTGCTTGAAGAAACATTGAGAAAATTAGATAATTATGAGGATGATCTTACCACACAGGAACCGGAACCATCTAGGCATTTGTATGCATTTCCATTGCACGAACATGGTAGACATTCTCCAGAAACTGAATAGTACAATCCTGCTTGACATCTCTACACAATAGGAAACAAACATAATGGGTTGTTAACGTATGTTTAAAAAATAGTTTTAATAAATTTAAGGCAACAAAACATTAACAATAATCAATAAGCTGATAGGGATTTAGAGGACAAAACTTTTCTAAAATTACACATTTTTATTTAAACAAACGAGTATGTAAAGCCAAATCCTTGTTTTTTGGGCAGAGCATGGAAAGATCTATAGACTTTTTATTGTTGTGTGTGTCTCACGATTGGCCCTGGTGATCCTTATTGCTTGAACAGAAAATTGATTGAAAATCCATAATGTTTAAGTTGTCACAGAAACAGATACAGAGGGGAAATATTCCAATAAGGACACCGAAGTTGGTGTCAGACTGGGCAAAGTACTCAGCACTCTTCAGGATGTGACCGCACCTCTACTCATTCTGGATTGCACAACCTCCCAATTGGGTTATGCATAAATACGTTATCTACAGCGTCTCAGATGGAGTTCAGAATCATAAGCTTAGGTTTTTCCATAACAAGAGATTGCTGCACCTACTTTGTAATAAATCATATTACAAAGTAAGTGCCTTGTGTATCTAAATGGGTTTGGGTTTGATTTGAGCATGTGGCTGTCTGAAAATATGCCCAGGGTGTTGTATCATAATTTCTCAAGAGAAATGCTTTGGCTGAGAAACAGATCAGTGGCCTTTTAGTTATATGTTTTAAGTATCATGTTCCTAGCAGGTAGGTACAGCAGGCGGTTGCCAGGCCATGAATTTAAAGAATTTTAATCCTTGCAGTTGGGCCCCTACATTGCAAGGGTACATTTTTGTTTAGGTGCCTAAATGGAAAAGTTATACTCACCTTGGAGCCTGGTGGCTGTTAGAACTCTCCGTTCTGCCCTAACATTGACTAGTCGCTGACGGCCACAATTCGCACGCTCAGACCCAGATTTTCGGCGGACAGTTCAGTCTTTAAACACTTTAACAATGAGCCCCTCTTGAACATTTAACAAATTCTGCTGTTTTGCTGATACTCGCTCCATGGCTCTGAGCGCCAACAATCATCCCACGTTCAAAGGCCGTTCAAAGGGTAGAGAGTTCCATAGGATGGGAAAGGCTCTAGTGAAGCAGACATGTCTAGTTATTATTATAGCCCTGGATACTATCCTAGGCAGTGTTCTTGAGCTTTATATTTGTCTCTGCCTGCCATGACCTAAGTCTGCTTTTACTCCCTATTGTTTCAGTACACTACCCTTCATTTCCATCCGGAAGTCAGATGTTACCAGTGGGGAAAACAGGAAAGCTGCTACCTGGGAACATTATGCAGTGCAACCTCAACCTATTTGCAGCTATATATATATATATTACAGCTATATTAAAAAAAAAAAAAAAAAAAAGGTTTATAAACTTGCATGTGCAGATCCCATAACTACAAATTTAAGACACAATTAAGAGATTTCTCTCTCAGAATTGTATCACAATCCCCATTTCAGTTCTCCTGCTTATACAAAGTTCCACAAACTCTTAACAGTAACAAAGTATCCCCAAAAAGTGAGAATTTCACAGGTGGTTCCTGAGGTGAGCTAAATGTTGTAAAGGGCATTCACTGAATAAGTTTTCTGAAAAACAAAGTATGACCCCTGGTTATAAGAAGTGATGAGGCTGGGCTTAGTGCGAACCTAGTTCACCCAAGCCTGCTCAAAACTCTGATCGATGCGTCTCTCTCCGGAGAGGTCCATTTTCCATTTTGCAGCTATACATGGCAAAAGGGCAGGGCATGCTCCTGCTGCAACTGCTGACACTGATTGTGGTGGAAGGAGAGGGTGGCGGTCAGAGTTCTGAGCAGGCTTGAATGAGCTCAGGTGAACTGGGTTTGCTCCTTGCCCAGCCTCATCTCTAGTTATAAGTTGTGGCCACAATAGGCATACCACCAAACAGATTATGCACTACTTTGCCTGCAATATAAATTGAGCAAATCTTACATTTCTCTTATCACCAACAAGATTTGATTCCAGACTTTCTGATATATTCTGTTACCATGAGCAGCCTTTGAACATACCCCCTCATCTGGCTGAGTCAGAGGAAGGTGCATTGAAGTGGGAACTCTCCATTAATATCAGCGTCCGTCCACCTCTTCCTTTGTCCATTGAGGATGACTGGCATCCATAGTGACTCCCTGTGTTCTGCAGAGCAAACCTTCTACCATTGTCATAGGACTACATCAGATTTTACCACTCAGAACCCTGCAGAGATCCTCCTCCTAAGCTGCATCTTTTAAAATAGGAAGGGCAGCGAGATCATGGGGTTTTTTTTTATGCAGGTACCTATACAGTAACTTCTCTACTGAACTATTTATTCAGGCTCCTTGGCTTCCACTTTAATTGAGCTGTGACATTTATTCCAAGGAAAGATAACATTGTATAAGGCCAGGTTTTAAAATATATTTAAAATAAGACAGCTGTCAAAGAATCTATTGAGACTAAGTAAGTTAATTTACTGAACAGATTTATAAAGGACAAACATATAATTAAAGGTATGACAAGCCTTACATATAAATAGCTAAGAAAGTATTCATCACATTCCTCTCTGAATTTCTCCTCTGTTGTGATTGTCATTTTCTCATTATTCTACAGAACCCCATGGCATCATTAGGAAGAATCAGTTTGACTTTTCACACAAACATATGTGTCAGTCCCACCCTATTGCTTTACAATGCTGAGACTTTAACAATCTAGGGACTCTTGTATCTGTTATGAAACATCTGCTGCAATCAAAGGCTGCTACATTTTGAAATCTCCTCATATTGACAGACAGTATTAGTTATGTCTTTAATCATGTTTTATATTTGAAACAGAAACACAATCACAGTGTTATAAACTTGCAGCAAAGATAACGTGGCCCATGAATATGATAAGAACAAGAACAACTGGTATCATTGGCATCTGGAGAAATGTTTACAAGTTGTTAGAAGTAAATATTTGACATTACCGCATGTAACATACACTAAACATTCTTGTGTACATCTGCTATCATCTCCCATTTTTAACCACTAAATAAATGCACAGAAACAAGTAATAGTGTAGATCAGGGGTGTCAAACTCAATTTCATTGCGGGCTGCATCAGTATTATGATTGCCCTCAAAGGGCTGGTTGTATCTGTGAGACTATATAAATGTATCTACTCTTTATTAGGGATTCACCAAAATTTCGGTTACTGAAACATATCGGCCGAAAATGGCACTTTTGACAAAATGCCGAAAGTGCCATTTTTTTGACGAAATAGGGGTGCATCCCTGCTTTCTCTCCTACCCGCTGGGTGCTGCTCTGGGGCCCAGTGGGGCAGGGCCGGTGCTAGGATTCTTGCCTACACAGGCATGGTGCATTTTTGCGCCCCCCCCCATGGGGAAGAGAGAAACTGTCACAGGAGGCTGAGCGGTACAGGAGGAGAGTGCTGTGAGTGACCGGCTTCTCTCCTCCCTGCACCACTCAGCCTTCTGTCACAGATTCAGAGAGCGGCGTTGTGGGCGGAGACAGCTGTCATTGCTGTCACAGGAGGCTAAACACTCCTCCCGCCCCGCCCAGCCTCATGTGATAGCGTGTCAGGATGGAGAGCGGATACAAACAGTCAGCGATCGCTGAGTGTTTGTAAATAATTGAGGACAGAGTATGTTTACTGTGTCCCCAATTATGATTGAATAGGTGTGATCTACATCACTTCCTAAGATTTTTGTTTAGAAGCGCCAAGGGCAATCCTTATCCCTCACAAGGAAGGAGTACTGAGCATATGTGCAGGGCGCAGCTCCAATACAGTCAAGGGAACTGTGACATCTGAAAAAAAGCACAAAAAGGGTCGCCTCTACTGGTGCAGATTTGTTTATTCCAATAAACGGGCATAAAAATTGAACTGACAGGTACTCACAAGACTGAAGTAAAAACAAGCTGCAGAACAAAAAAATGTCCTGACGAAGGGGGCATGCCCCGGAAAAGCGGCGACACCCTCAGTGATTCACACACAGGACGCACTGCACGGATCCTTTTACTGCTCCGGTTTTATTGTTCTGCAGCTCGTTTTTACTTTAGTCTTGTGAGTACCTGTCAGTTCACTTTTTATGCCCGTTCATTGGAATAAACAAATCTGCACCAGGAAAGGCGCCCCTTTTTGTGCTTTTTTTACATCACTTCCTGTTCATTCATGATTGTAGACACAGTAAACATACTATGTCCACAAGTTATGAATGAACAGGAATACTCAGTGTAGAGGATTCCTGTTCATTTATTAGAGAGGCTGCAGAAAAAGAGATTGAGGGCTTTGTGTCCTCAATCTCTTTTTCTATTTTAAAAGGGAAATATCAGGGATCTGTGTAGACACCTTATATTTCCCTGAAGCCCCCAACAATAAAGTAAAAAATGTAAATATTTACTAAAAATGAATAAATAAAAATTAAATATAAAAAAATAAAAGTTTATAAAAAAATAAATAAAAATTAAATATTTGAAAACATTTGAAATAGTTAGAAATTTTTTTTCCGATTTCGGCCTGACATTTCTTTTTCATTTTGGTTTTGAAAATTTCATTTCGGTGCACCTCTACTCTTTATCATATAAAATAAGTGCCTCTGCATTCAATTATTACTGGTTTTAGTAATAACCTAATAACTAGCTCTGAAAGTAGAGGAGGAAAAATAATGGTAATTAGTGTAATAGTGCAGACTCTCAGGTGGCTGTGCAGGTTCTATGTTGGGTTGGGCGGACACTCAGGTTGGCTATGTGGGGTCTATGGTGGGCCATGCAGACTCTCAGGTGGCTGTGCAGGTTCTATGGTGGACTGTGCAGACTCTCAGGTGGGCTGTGCGAGGTCTATGCTGAGCTTTGCGGCCTCTCAGGTAGGCAGTGCAGGTTTTATGCTGGGCTGTGCAAACTTTCAGGTGGTCTGTGTGGGGTCTATGGTGGGCTTTGCGGGTTCTATGGTGTGCTGTGTGGACTCTCAGGTGGCTGTTTGTGGTCTGTGCTGGGCTGTGCGAACTC